ATGAGCACTGCACGTTTCAAAATCAAAACGCAGTGCGGGTGTTTTATATGAATGTATCTTTGAAGAGAACCAACTGTCTTCAGAAAAGTTTCGATGGCATTTTCATTTTATCTGATAAAGTAGCGTTCATGAGCTCCAAAAGCTCCTCCTGCTGGCAGAGAATGAGCCCGTCTCCATAAACATGTTTTTGTTGTTAACTTTGTGTTTTTGTTTTCTGCAGCTCTTTTCATATTCTTTATCCTGGCTGAAGCACTTTTGTTTCAATCTATAAGAATAATCAGCCTATGTTATAGTTTAAAGTTAAAGATATTAATATTATTAAGGTGAGCCTGAGAGTCTTACATTTATTTGACAGTGATTTCAAATGTTTTGTTTGTATGAAGGCTAAATACAAATAAAAGGTGAACATTAATTTATCTGTGCAGTTTATTTTTTATTTTTTTTTAAATATTATATAGTTTTATAGGAGGAGGTTTCATAGACTTGGCAAATTCATTTGTTCAGAAGTTTGTAGGTACAGACATCTGTTGTGGGCATTCTTGGCAGTTTTTCTGAGGCTTTTTTTTTTTTATATTGTTCCTATCGATATCGGAATTATGGAACTAGACGAAAACAAGGAGATACACACACTCTACAAACTATCCCCGCAGCATTTAGGCAGGCATTTCCAACTGATTCAAACAGGGCAAAACAAATCACTGTAACAAATCATCATATAAAATTTGTAAAAATCAAAGAAATTTCTCTGGCATTTCTTTCTTTTTGCTGTATCGAAAACGTACCGAACCGTGACACCAGTGTGTGTGTGTGTGTGTGTGTGTGTGTGTGTGTGTGTGTGTGTGTGTGTGTGTGTGTGTGTGTGTGAGTGAGTGAGTCTCCAAAAAAACATTTTCCCTTCTATTGTCTCTGCACTAGGCTGACCAAGGCACTTAAACTGTCAGAGATGGAACTGAAAGCTCTAGCAAGACGCCAGTTGAGCCTAGAGGAGGAGATCCAGGTCAAGACCAACTCCCTTTACATAGACGAGGTGATCTGCCATCAGCTACGTCAACCTGTGGTTATTCACAACTTCTGAACAGGGCTCATGTATGGCGGAAAGGCCTAGTATATTTTATTGTGTTTTGGAAAAAGAGTTTCCTTTGAATAATTTTATGTTTTTTTTGATGGTTTCAATACTGTTTCTTTAAGATTTCTACTGGGATGTTTCCTCTTCCATTTGGTTTGGTTTGGTTTGTCTGTTTGTTGCACCATTGAAAGAGACTGTTTGATCAAATGTCTTAAAAAATGCTACATTAAAAAATATATTTAAAAAAAACATGCTCCCAAGTTACTTGGTTCTAGTCTTAAAACATGAATGGATGATTTATAATAAATAAAACAAAAATGTAATCATCATACTTCATAATACAAAAATTAGGTATAATGATGTTATTCGTTTTTTGGAAAATTATTTCGGTGCTAACAATACTTATTTCTGTATTAGTCTAGTTTTACTATTAATGATGGGAGGCGTATCAAGTACACATATCTCTATAGTAATGATAAGCCATTTCTGAAACATGAGGAAATCAGTCAGATCAAGTAAAAAGCACCAAACGGATTGCAAGAAAAACTGCTGTCACATCAGGTCTTTTGAGCTCTTCAAATTTTAGGTAACCAACCATTTTAACAATTCTGAAAATAAAGGTGTAGTTGTTGAGGGTTTTTTATAACTAATAATGTCAAATAAGAATGGCGCCTCACTTTGTGTATTTTTATTATTGACAGTTGTGCTACAGTATAAATAGACATGATTTCTTTCTCATTACATTAGTCAGAGATGCTACAAACTGCTGTTCATCTTGATTGCCGTTCAAATGACAGATTTTGGTGAGTTTTCATTTCTGTATTTTAACTTATCAAGTGCCTTATCTTCTATGGCATTTACAGTTATTTATTACTTATTTTGTTTTTCCAAGTTAAGAAATATTACTAGGTGTAATAAGTGAAAACAAAATAATAATGTAAAAGTAATATTTTCCCTTTGATTTGAGTTATTGGTATTATGAAACTTAGAAAATACGGTTGTAGAAAAATATTGCCAAGTTCAAGGTTCAGACCAAGAAGACGTTACAGTTTAGTGAATAAAATTGAATATAACTACAATATTTTGATTCATTTCACACCCTGATGATCTGACTGATATCTATTCCATCAAAGTAGAAAACAGCGTCACTGGAGAGGCCGGTTTGTGCATCAGAGTGTACTGTGTTTTCACTGTCCCTCAAAGTGTCTCAGATCCCATTAGGAGAACCTGGTTCAAAGGAGATCCACAAAACCCATCTGTTGAAGTTCCTCATTCTTCCAGAAATATTGTATTTCCTCACAATGAGAAAGAGTGCAGCTTTCTGCTAAAAAACTTGGTTCAGGGCAAATCTGATGGTGAATACAGATTAAAACTGGAGTGGGGAGAAGGAAACGTGTATATCTTTCCTCAGACAGTAAACATTACTGTAAAAGGTTGGTTGTGTGTTTGTATTAGGGCTGTCAATCGATTAAAATGTTTAATCTAATTAATCACATCCGTTTCTGTGATTAATCATGATTAATCGCACACTTCATGAAATTAAGCATAGACCATTTATCTTGTTTCAAATGTTTATTTTGTCATCATTTGCTATATCCAGCAAAGTAAACCAAAAGATTGAAG